GAGTAGATCGTATTGTTCATGCTAAATTTCCCCATTAGTTGTTATCCAAATATTGATTCAGCCGAAAATTCTTTAAATCGATTCATAACAAACTACATTTTTTGATTTAAACACTGTTGTGCTTGTTGTCACTGTCATTTATTATCTTCAGGTTATGTATGCGTTTTTATGTAAACTTGTAGAATACTGTTGGTTCAAATCAACATCACACGTATTCAAATGGTACTTATGCAGGAAGAAATACTGTCACACGTAGGATTTCATACCATGGTCAAATGGGACATATTATGAATCCGCAAGTTATTTAAATTTTCTTAACTCAATGATTACTTTCTCTATATGTTTTCATTTTGTAATTTCTGTTAGTATGTGGTGAGATAATCTCGGTTGGCTTTTTTATAGTACTTTTGTAAGCAATGACTAAGAATGCATGCCTATTGCTGCAACCTATGTGGTAGAGCCAATGGCTTGGTGTAGAGAGCGTTTCCGATATTCCGACTGTAGATTGCAAGCTTGAGTAAGTAACTCTTCACCTACTTGGATATGAATAGCAGAGTAGTATCACTGACTGCTTCACGTAAACTATTACTGAAATGTGAGTGCACAAATCGATACTTGGTAAGTAAGTCAAGTTATAAACCAACGTAACTACTATCAACTATACATTCAAACTTACGAAATGTAATAATGTTTCACAGTTCAGTTCTCTCAAACAACACATAGAGTAGGCAGTTCATATTTCATAATGATCTTATTATTTGATAAAATATTTCACTGATATCAGTTTGTCACAAATACAAATAATCTTCACAAAAGTCTATTCATTAAACAATGTATATTTCATATATAAATTTATTCCTAATGTTTTCATTGTAGGAATGCTGAAATGCCTAATGGTAATCAAAATCATAATAATAATAATCATAGTAATATCACAACGAATGACCATTGTAACAATGCAGTTGAAAGCATCAATAGATTGAACTCAGTAGATTGAATAAATTTATTTCTTGCTTAATTAATCACGATAGTTGATTTTGACTGTTTTCATTATTCACCTGTGGATGTTTATGTGTGTGTGTGTGAGAGAGAGAGAGAGAGAGATTGAATTCATTTAGTTCGTTTTGTGATTATTTTCACTAGAAACAATAACACTAGTAGTGAGTTAGTTATATGATTATACCGAATAAAATGAACTCATCGTTATCATTGTTATTCTGCTGTGCCACTAATCATCTTCATATCAACTGCAAATGATTGACTTGCACAAAGAAAACAGTAAATAATACTGTGATCATCAAAAATATGATTATAATATGCTTTCATTTGTTTGAAGACATTTTGAGTGGAACAGAAAATTTTGGAGAATAAAACATGCAATCTTGTTCACATTCCTAATATTAACTTTATCTACGAAAATACGTCAACTGTGGTTGTTGCATTTTTCTGCTGTACTCCACCCAGTCACATTCAAAATGTGGTTATTTGTAGTGTGTTTGTAAATTATTTTGTAAATACTTTTTGTTGAATGAAATATTGTTATATTTACATATTTGTGCAATCATGATCGGTGTGGTTAAATTTTGTTGTAAGGTTTTTGTTTATTGAACCTTTTGATATTGTACGTGCTTCCCATGTACACTACTCCACTTTGAATGGATAGGTTGGAATTACTGTTATTATTATAAATATTACTAGACAATGTCTGGTTCTTTTCTGGAAACATTCTTTTTATTTTGTGTTTGATGAGCTGTGTGTTAGTAGTGACCTATGAGAGGCGGTCCTATTTTTTCGCTGATCTGAATACATAGTATTACTGTGTTCTTCAATTGTTTGTTTTCTTGACTGTTGATGATTTCGAAAGGAAATTTGAGATGAGTTTGATATTCTCCTTTAGAGTATGAGGTATGTGTAGTTATTTACCACCAGTGTGTAAATCTTGTACAGTTATTTGACTCCTTTGCAATCGGATATTGTATGTATTTCTATTCACTCCTTATTTGTGTAAAATAAATAACATAAAAGATTGACTATTCATGTGTTGTTGTTTAGTTTAAAAACTTACTTTGTCAGACAATTTATCAACATTGTGACTAAATAGAAGTTATGCATAAGCAAAGTCTTAAGACTCGAATACCAAGACTGATGAGTTGCTAGTAAACATGATATACTTCAATGTTTTTTATGGATTTAGATCTGTCAGTTCAGATAGTGATTCTATATTGTTCAAGGGAAACTGTTGGTATTGATAGCTAGTTCAAAAGATGAAGTACTAGTTGTGACACAGCTTTTTTATTTACTAAACGTTTCAAATTTTCCTTCGACTACCGAATTTCATTCAGCTAGGATAATTTCTACGTCCGTTTACTTTAATTTCTGCTTATAGGAGAATGTAGGCTTCGTCACTGAAGATGCTGATTGTCAATAGAAAACAATTCACAGACCTCCTGTATTTAGATCTCAAACTTTATAATCAGGGTATGTTCATTGAGGAACTAGAATATTCCACATCCATATCTGCATGTTGTTGAGTTTACTGTCATCATGATCCTCACACTAGACAAGTATAGTAACTTGGTTTTAAGCGATTCTATCATTGATCGCAGCATGTAATAAAATCGGTCTTCAACTTTCCTCATTGTTTACCGATCGCTGTATTAGTTGTTACTTAACTTAAATCTACGAAGTTGATGATATATTAGGGTTATAGTTTTCAAGTAAATATTAACTAAAGTTTTCCATAATACACATGGAATAATATCGCAACAATATACTTTTCTATTTCCTAGCAGAATAGTGTAGCATTTTCATCAGTAAAGAGTCATAATGAGAAGATATGTTTCGCAATGGAGACGACAGTTAAAAGAAGACAATAAGCATTCATTTCCATCAGTGGAAATCAATAAAGCGTTGTTCTTTCCAGGTCACATCAATATGATCTGACGTCTGTTCTTTAATGTGGGGTAGCATTATAAATAGTTGAACAGCTAACTTGACCGTCAGTATTTTTAATTACCGTGTACCAAAGTATGAACAGTAGCAAGTGTTTATGACGTTTATGACTGTAAAATTACCTTGATTTCAACATTCAAATAGAATATTTTAAACATTATGCTTACTTTGTCATGACATCATTGTTATTACTGAAATCGATAACTATTTTATTTGTTTATTCCATACCTACCATGTGTTCATTACTTACGTCAGAGTGGAATGAGAAAATACAGTTTAGGAATTTATGAAATTGAAGTAATGGAGATTATTGTTTTTACACATTTGAAATCATCAATCAACCATTGTTAGACCACTGCTGATTAGCCGCATTCCAGAACGAGACGGCTGTCCTGTGCTTCCATGTCTTTAATTGGGGTGCAATCAAAACAAAGTTGCAAACAACGACAGGTCAAAAGACAACAACAACCAATCAAGATCGAGATTAGCAGAACAAGCTACAGGTCAAACGTGGAGAAATTCGAATGCTTCACTTCTATCTGAAGTTTGTGCTGATGATGTTGTTCAGTAGAACAATGAAAGCTCCACAACCAAAACAACCAGCTCAGAGAACAAAACACCACCACAATACAGGGTTTTGTTAAAGGGATTGAAAACTTAGCAATTTGTACAGCATAAGGACTGTAAGAATCGTTGTCATTATTTATAAGAACAGGAGGAGGACTTGACATTATTTTGAATACGAACATTGTAAGCTTTGCATCCATTTCAAAACAAGGTAAACGAGACTTAGTTCTACTTGCAAAAACACCCGAAATAGCAGGAACTATGTATATGGAGCATTTCATAGTAGAGAATCGGAATAGTGAAAATTGTGCATTTTCTGCAAATATCACATCTATAATTAATTAGCAAACAAACTATTATTATTCATCGACACCGACTGTTTATGTCACATTCAAATTATTTAATACAAAAATGAACAGACAATTTTTCCACATGAATGACAATCAGGTAGATAGTAAAAGTAAACCTCATAATTACTGTATGTTAAAATGACATTCAAGTAACTGAATCTGAGTGTTCTCAAAAGAACATGATAATGCTAATTTCGTAATGATCGTAAAATGTTGACATCCACTGTATTGAGAATGTCAGGTAATATCTACTTGCAATCAATAATCATATTTTACAAGACAATTCTTCCTTAAATCAAATCAAATAGGGACCAATTGATGTATATTAGTTACACTGTTATAGTAAATTTGAAGTTCAAACAATTCACAGATTACATCAAGAATGACCAAGTATTCAAACGCAGAATAGCAGTCTTCGTTATGCTTCGATTCAGTCGATTTCTGAACCAACCAACTCTGTCTATTAAACGTGTCATTCTTATCTTGTTGGATAGATATTTCATGTTGCCTCTTATAAACCTCTATTATTGGTGATCTTGTTGGTTAGATTCATATGAGTTTTAGTTTGTATCTGTTAGCTGCATTCAAACTGGTTATCAGTGATTTACACGTTCTTCGTCATTGACTTGCTTCATACTCACTGATTCTGATTAAATATCCATCAGTCAGCTAAAACGTTGAACTTCGTATGTACGAACATCAGTTCAAGTTGCCATACTACATCAGCGAAGAGAGATGGGACTGTCAGTTCAAACTCCATAGTAGTAGTAGAGGTTGCAACAGTTTGATCGGTAATCAGCAAGATTAGAGATCGAACTTATGAATCGAGAAGTTACAAACCAGTGAAATTTTTAAGAAAAAGAGAGTCCCGAAACATCCAGAAACTTAGAATTTGAAGGAAAACAGAGAATGTGCATATCTGCGCCACTACAAACAATTTTGAGCCGTGTCATTCAAAGTATCTAACCATCGGTTACTATTGTCTCGTCAATAACAACCAGATATTCTGCACGCACCTACTCACACCACTCGGTTTACTTGTCAACAACTTCATCCATTGGTGCTATGTTTAGATTCGTCCGCCTTTAGCTTTCTTCACAGATCATCTACGCAATCAAATATATTCTTCATATAAAATGAAACGAGACAGTTAGATTACCATAAGTGATATCAACGTTAAACAATGTTTTATTCGAAAGACGATTAATTAGGCAAGCAGATGACTCAACTATTTCACCAAATACTTATTTGTTTGACATACGTTGAAAAGGAGAGGCAGGACTGGTCCATTCAACGTCCAAATCTAAATGAATTCTCACACAAATCTAGTTCAGATTTTTGTGTACCGTTGTATAGAAAAAATAGGAGTAATGGCATCGGTGTTCATATACTTTACAATAAATTATTTAAAGTAGTGAACACTGAAAACTTGATTACAAAAGCTGTTCAACAAGTGAAACCACGAAGATTCAATGACTGAATCCAAATAAGTGAAAATATTAATGTCACTGTTTTAATTGGATATCAATCATAGTCTCATAGCTACCGTTGAAAGCTAACTACGCTTGACTTGACATGTTACTTGCCACTAACTGCACGTAACTAATGCCACTTACGTTCATGGCTCTACTTGTGAGTAATTCAATCGATGACGATACGCATAATTTCCAATAGTCCATCTGTTGAAATTAATATCAAACAACTGAATGAATCAAAGCAAATCATCTGTTTTAATGACGACACATATATGCACATGCTCAATTGAGCAATTTATTTATCTTAAGTTTCTTGTATTTAGTGATCAGCCTCAACAGTGCTAATCTTTACAACTCTCACAATCCTGATGTTTATTGTTGTGATATCATCAAAATCTTAATCGGCATAAATCACTATCAAATATTCGTTTAGCATATTTCACCAATCCCTAACTAAACCATATCACAAAAGATCATCACAAATTAGTCAACTGAAAAATTGAAAATTTAAAAAATTATTCAGAATTCATAAGCAGTTTTAAATTTCTTTAGTCGATATTCACGATTTACTAATGCCCTTATACACGTTGAGTAAATTAGTAGCTATGTGAACTTGACTGTTCGGTAAATCACACGTCCGATGATAACATTGAGGTTGAGTTTCAATATTTACATCAACACTGGGATGAAGTAGACACACGCAGCAGGCTGCCCATTTGATATAACAAAACTTGAATCCTGAATTTGCTTGCTAACTGTTTGGAATGTTAGATCCTCGAAACACATTCGGAGAAAGAACCTAATTTTGCATTTTTCTGTGTTTGCGCATAAGTTGCTTAGTTGATCTTCAGTATGAAACCGACACGTTATTATTCGAACTCAATTATACCAAAATGTTTGTCATCGCTCTAATTATCGGCTTTCTTTAATTAAAATTGAACCCATAATAACTCGTAAGAAAACTTTCAGAACTTCCAGTATTATTGGATGACAGGTCTGAATAGTGCAAGCATAAATGTTGGAAACATTTTCATGAATTCGTGAGAAAGGATTGAGGACACAGAGGTTCTCGCTCTTTCATTGTGTATGATGAGGCCTACTGATACAGAGTCTGTTGCTGCACTGGCTGTGTGAGGTGAATGCGGTAATCTATGGATAATCTACGCAGTTCAAATCGTCTAGCTGCATCCTAATTGTCGATTGAATGCCTAACTTTCCCTCACATGTTGACGTTTTCACAGTCCAGTCAATTTTCATTTTAAACAACATCGGGTCAGTTATTCCGATTGATCTGATGTGGATCGACTTCAGTCAGACAACTATTGAAAGACAGGCATGGTCTTTTATTATAAGACTCTTAGAAATGTACAGATACGATCACTGTACCGACAATTGAATGCGTCTCCTTTACATTATTGCAATATTATTCAATGTGTATTACAGAAAATTTTAGTTAATATTTACTTGAAAACTGTAACCCTAAAATATCATCAACCTCGTAGATCTTAGTTACGTAACAACTAATACAGCGATCGGTAAACAATGAGGAATGTTGAAGACCGATTTTATTACATGCTGCGATCAATGATAGAATCGCTTAAAACCAAGTTACTATACTTGTCTAGTGTGAGGATCATGATGACAGTAAACTCAACAACATGCAGATATGGATGTGGAATATTCTAGTTCCTCAATGAACATACCCTGATTATAAAGTTTGAGATCTAAATACAGGAGGTCTGTGAATTGTTTTCTATTGACAATCAGCATCTTCAGTGACGAAGCCTACATTCTCCTATAAGCAGAAAGTAAAGTAGAGGAACCTGGAAATTATTCTAGCCGAATGAAATTCTCTTGTCGAAAGTAACTTTTGAAACGTGTAGTAAATAAAAAAGCTGTGTCACAACTAGTACTTCATCTTTTGAACTAGCTATCAATACCAACAGTTTCCCTTGAACAATATAGAATCGCTATCTGAACTGACAGATCTAAATCCTTAACAGAATTGAAGTATGTCTTGTTTACTAGCAACTCATCAGTCTATGTATTTCAGTACTAAGACTTTGCTTATGCATAACTTCTATTTAGTCACAATGTTGATAAATTGTCTGAGAAAGTAAGTTTTTAAACTAAACAACAACACATGAATAGTCAATCTTTTATGTTATTTATTTTACACAAATAAGGAGTGAATACAAACACATACAATATCCGATTGCGAAAGAGTAAAACAACTGTACAAGATTTACACACTGGTGGTAAATAACTACACATACCTCATACTCTAAAGGAGAATATCAAACTCATCTCAAATTTCCTTTCGAAATCATCAACAGTCAAGAAAACAAACAATTGAAGAACACAGTAATACTATGTATTCAGATCAGCGAAAAATTAGGACCGGCTCTCATAGGTCACTACTAACACACAGCTCATCAAACACAAAATGAAAACAATGTTTCCAGAAAAGAACCAGACATTGTCTAGTAATATTTATAATAATAACAGTAATTCCAACCTATCCATTCAAAGTGGAGTAGTGTACATGGGAAGCACGTACAATATCAAAAGGTTATATCAACAAAAACCTTACAACAAAATTTAACCACACTGATCATGATTGCACAAATATGTAAATATAACAATATTTCATTCAAAAACTGTTTACAAAACAATTTGCAAACACACTACAAATAACCACATTTTGAATGTGACTGAGTGGAGTAAAGCAGAAAAATACAACAACCACAGTTGACGTATTTTCGTAGATAAAGTTAATATTAGGAATGCGAACAAGATTGCAAGTCTTATTCTTCAAAATTTTCTGTTCCATTCAAAATGTCTTCAAACAAATGAAAGCATATTATAATCATATTTTTGATGATCACAGTATTATTTACTGTTTTCTTTGTGCAAGTCAATCATTTGCAGTTGATATGAAGATGATTAGTGGTACAGCAGAATAACAATGATCACAATGAGTTCATTTTATTCGGTATAATCATATAACTAACTCACTACTAGTGTTATTGTTTCTAGTGAAAATAATCACAAAACGAACTAAATGAATTCAATCTCTCTCTCCCTCTCTCACACACACACACATAAACATCCACAGGTGAATAATGAAAACAGTCAAAATCAACTATCGTGATTAATTAAGCAAGAAATAAATTTATTCAATCTACTGAGTTCAATCTATTGATGCTTTCAACTGCATTGTTACAATAGTCATTCGTTGTGATATTACTATGATTATTATTATTATGATTTTGATTACCATTAGGCATTTCAGCATTCCTACAATGAAAACATTAGGAATAAATTTATATATGAAATATACATTGTTTAATGAATAGACTTTTGTGAAGATTATTTGTATTTGTGACAAACTGATATCAGTGAAATATTTTATCAAATAATAAGATCATTGTGAAATATGAACTGCCTACTCTATGTGTTGTTTGAGAGAACTGAACTGTGAAACATTATTACATTTCGTAAGTTTGAATGTATAGTTGATAGTAGTTACGTTGGTTTATAACTTGACTTACTTACCAAGTATCGATTTGTGCACTCACATTTCAGTAATAGTTTACGTGAAGCAGTCAGTGATACTACTCTGCTATTCATATCCAAGTAGGTGAAGAGTTACTTACTCAAGCTTGCAATCTACAGTCGGAATATCGGAAACGCTCTCTACACCAAATTATTGGCTCTACCACTTAGGTTGCAGCAATAGGCATGCATTCTTAGTCATTGCTTACAAAAGTACTATAAAAAAGCCAACCGAGATTATCTCACCACATACTAACAGAAATTACAAAATGAAAACATATAGAGAAAGTAATCATTGAGTTAAGAAAATTTAAATAACTTGCGGATTCATAATATGTCCTATTTGACCATGGTATGAAATCCTACGTGTGACAGTATTTCTTCCTGCATAAGTACCATTTGAATACGTGTGATGTTGATTTGAACCAACAGTATTCTACAAGTTTACATAAAAACGCATACATAACCTGAAGATAATAAATGACAGTGACAACAAGCACAACAGTGTTTAAATCAAAAAATGTAGTTGGTTACGAATCGATTTAAAGAATTTTCGGCTGAATCAATATTTGGATAGTAACTAATGGAGAAATTCAGCATGAACAATATGATCTACTCATAATCTGGAATTATCAGTTTCTCAACGACTTTCATTATTCTCAATAAATCAATTGAAACTCAATTATAGTGTTGTTATCGGTTAGATCAATGTCACTTTCACTAACGCGCACTGTATGTGCTCGAATGTCAGTGAACTGGACATTAGAATACGCCATAACAAGAACATTAGATAGCACAATTCTAAACGAAGTAGCCACCGTTAGTGTTGTATGGGACAGAAATGAATGCCAAACATCCATTTCACAGAAAGACACACCAATTAAATAATCCGGAGATAGAAATCTTTGACTGTGAATTCATACATCACTCGTCAGATAGCAAACAGCACTCCAATATGTGGTTGACACTCAGGAATACTTGATACTCAAGCAGAACTACTTGGTATACTTAGTATATATGGCAACAACAGCATGTATGATCTCCGACTTATTCAGAATATAAGCTAACCGAAAGTGTTGGCAACCAGTCTGAAAAAGCAACGGTCATGCGAGAGATTTTAATAGAAAAAGGCATTTATACTTTCTACTATTAGTAAGACATTGACATTTACTAACGAAAATTGAGTATTCATGTAACGGCCTTAGCATCTCCCCTTATCCTGAGTTCATTCAATGCACTTGAAATGCAACGGAATTCCATTGTCATCGTTTCCTTGTTTGCAGCTTCTTGTGTCAATTCTTTTCCGTCTACCATCTACTTTGGTATTTGCTTTTAAATTTTACAAGCATTCAGATCATCCAGCACATTGTGGTGAATGCTAATGACCAGTATTTGTTGGGTCTGTTGAGTAACGGATCTTTGTGGCACACACGTATTACTCCTTCTACAGCTGCTTCAACAATCACTATACCTTTCTCACTCATTACGAACACCATCTCCCTTGTGCCAAGTATACAGTCATTCACATTACAAGTGTACCTGTGTTTCCACTCCTCGCTTATTTTATTGTTCGAAGCCGTCAATTCATAGGTGCTTCTGTCAGTGAATTTCATGTGAGAAACTATTGTTAGAGACACTCTTGTCTAAAACATTTTCATTTAAGCATATAATTATTTTTACCATAGGATACATATATATTTATGCAACACACAACTAAATGAGTTTGTGTGACGACTGAAATAGTGCCGAAGTACACAAGCCGAAGTAGATAGTTTACTCACGGTGGTGTCAACTAGCATTGACTCACAGTTTCAATCCGAAAGGAAGTGGAGTAACGTTAGGAGTGCAGTTCCATGGTAGCCGGTCACCATAAATATGTTCATGCGTTGTTTGTTCCCTCAGGACACTGGAGCTCATGTACACAATTTGTTTGTGATCAGGGTTTCTCAGTTCCTCAACCAACACAATGTTCAAAACCCGGATACTCACTTTTCATCTTCTCAATTTTGTAAACAACACCCCTGCCAAGGAACGGTGGTGAATGTGACTTCCCTGGTTGTAGTAGCTTTATACGTGTGGCCATATGAGATTATTTCGATAGGTAGAGAGGACTCTTCCTACTCTCGGATGTATCAGGTCATTTGTGGTTCACATAAATACATAAGTTAAGATTGCTGAATGGTTTTTGTAACAGCTCCTTTTCTTTTTGCTTTCAAGACAGTTGATTTAAGTACCTACATCTACTCTCTACTATATCATTCAGATATAACGAACAAGCTGAACGATTTGTGAACACTAATCTCACTAATTATACATTCTTTTGTAGAAGGATGATGAGCTACATTTTTAAATATAAGTTATTTTACGGAATGGCAATACCACCTGATTGTTTATATTCAAATAAACGACCGCCGGATAAGGCTTTCAAATTTACGTTCAAACTGTGCTTCGTTTGATTCGGTTCGGCAAACCAAGTAGTGGTATCGTTGTGTATACTACTCACAACCTGTCTTGAGAGTAGTATGCATTGGCATGTCGACCTGAAGGTACCGTCCAACCGGAGTTTCCGATCAGGATGCATGGCGCGATCAGAGAGTCTTGAAGACCAGAAAATATATGGTTGCTGTAAAAACGGTCACTTGAAGATACGGTGTAAACACTTGGCTAGTGAACTGTCTTCTAACAGTTAATTGCTTGTTTCTACTGTTCTTACGGCTTCGTTTATTACAGTATCACTAAAAGGCCGATCGAAACCAAGTAAAAGAATACATATCAGGTAAATAAGTAAAAAGTGAATTAGGAAAGATAAGGTAGTTATCAGTAGCTAAATACTGACATCAATCGAACTCACACTTACGGATGCACACGAAAGCTTAAACAATAAATTTCTGTTTAAAATAGACAAAAACAATGACAAATGTAGTTGGAAATAACAAGGAACTTACTCTATTATGTGTTCTTGAACGCTGATTAAACAAACGATCTAGTTCAATACGTCTTAGCCACCTTTCTACTTCCTCCAATCTATCAGTTATTCGGGACAATGAAATATTATTAAGATAAATAATAGGATTTCGATTTTTATTTAGTCGTTCATGATGACAATCGGGACATAGTCGATTTCTATCTAGATCTTTTATGAAAGATCCTATATGTAATGCTACAGTGTTAGCCATGTTAATTTTTTCAAAAGCGAATTCGGACGTAAGAAATTGCTCCATTGTAACTAATGGTTGAAAAGAGAAAAGTTCTCGAAGAATACGATAAATCTCTTCCATAAATCTCTCGTCTGATGTGCCTGTATATATATACACACATAGAACAATACGCGGCAAATCAGGAAGAA